CTAATGCACAGAGCAGTGTCTATAGTTAACATTACTGTATTGTATACTTGAAATTTGCTAAGAGAGATCTTTTTTTTTTTTTTTTTTTTTTTTTTTTTTTTTAAATATATATTTTTATTGATTTTTCACAGAGAGGAAGAGAGAGGGGTAGAGAGTTAGAAACATCGATGAGAGAGAATCACCAATCAGCTGCCTCTTGCACACCCCCTATTGGGGATGTGCCCGCAACCAAGGTACATGCCCTTGACCGGAATCGAACCCGGGACCTTTCAGTCCACAGGCCGACGCTCTATCCACTGAGCCAAACCGGTCCTGGCTGCTAAGAGAGATCTTAAAACTTATCGCCACACATACACACAGACAAAGGTAACTATGTGAGGTGAAGGAGGTGTTAACAAATAACCTGATTGTGAGGATCATATCTCAATATATGCATATGTCAAATCATCACGTTATACACCCTAAACTTAACACAATGTTATTTATCAATAAAATTGGGGGTGGGGAGAGAACAAAGATAGTATATTTTGAGCATGCCCCACTGCACATGCTATTTGACAGTGAGGAGTAAAAGGAGGAATGAGTGAGTTTGGGGCTCACTATTTTCCAGGGTGAGGTATTTCAAAGCCTTCTTAATTTTTAACCTATTTGAGCTTTTGCTCATTCTATTTTGGAACTTGACTCCTGAGTACCAGTGCCTTTGCAAGAAGTTTCAAATACAAGCCTACATGAATGGACCCAGGTTATTAAGAAAGGGTATGGACCCAGGAAGATTACTCTGAGGCCCAGACTCCAGGAGCAGCAATTTCTGGGTGTGCAAGTGTGGATTCCCTGAGAATAGGGGCTCAGGGCAAAAGGTTTCTAAATTCCTACTGGAGGAAGTCAGAACAGATGTTTCCCAAGTTCTTCTTGTCTTCCATTGGCCAATTGCAGTCTTCTCTGTCCCCCCAAGAATGGCCATCACAGGGTGTGGCCTCCTCTCCTAAATATTCTTTTTTAAAAATATATATATATTTTACTGATTTTTTACAGAGAGGAAGGGAGGTGGAGAGAGAGTTAGAAACATCAATGAGAGAGAAACATCAATCAGCTGCCTCCTGCACACCCTCTACTGGGGATATGCCTGCAACCAAGGTACATGCCCTTGGCCGGAATTGAACCTGGGACCCTTGAGTCTGCAGGCCAACGCTCTATCCACTGAGCCAAACCGGTCAGGGCTATTCTTTTTTTTTCTTTTTTTATAATATATTTTTATTGACTTCAGAGAGGAAGGGAGAGGAAAAGAGAGATAAGAACATCAATGATGAGAGAGAATCATTGATCAGCTGCCTCCTGCATGCTCCCTTCTGGGCATCGAGCCAACAACCAGGGCATGTGCCTCTGACAGGAATTGAACCCAGGGCACTTCAGTCCACAGGCAGACGCTCTATCCACTGAGCCAGACAATATTATTTCTTTTCTTTTTGTAAAATTCTCACCTGACTTTTAGAGAACGTGGAAGAGAGAGGGGAAGACAGGGAGAAATACATTGATTGGTTGCCTCCTGCACACATCCAGACCAGGGTCCGGATGGGGAGGAGCCTGCAACTGAGATACTTGCCCTTGTCCGGAACAAATCTGGGACCTTTCAGATGGCAGGCCGATACTCTATCCACTGAGCAAACCAGAATATCCTAACAGACCATCTTCAACTTGCAGCTGGAGATTGTTTGTTGCTCCTCTTCACCTCCTGCTCAGCTATTCTCTCTCGCCAAGCAGCATGTGGGAAAGTGGGTCAAACAGGTTTTAACTAATTCTTATAATAAAAATGCAATAGTCTTCCCAATCATTGTACTGTATTATTATGTCTGGATACCAATGTTGAGCAGAGATTTGCTTTTAACTATTACTTTATTTTTATTTTTTTAATATATTTTATTGATTTTTTAACAGAGAAGAAGGAAGAGGGATAGAGAGGTAGAAACATCAACGAGAGAGAAACATCCCTAGTGGGGATGTCCCCGCAACAGAGGTACATGCCCTTAACTGGAATCGAACATGGGACCCTTGAGTCCGCAGGCCGATGCTCTACCAATGAGCCAAACCGGTTAGGGCTTAACTATTATTTGATCGTGGTTCTTGACCAAGACCTTATGTAATGTTGCAAAAGTAACACTCTGTCTCAATACCCAAGGACTCCAAGCCCTCCTTCCTTCCCATCACCCCTCTTATCTTGCGACTTGATCTTTAATTTATTTCTAACTACCTATTCAACCTCAGTTAATTTAACATTGATACCAAACTTTTATCTAACTTAGTGTCCATATCCCAATTTAGTCAATGCCCAATAATTTCCTTTATAGTTATTTTTCCTTTTATTATAGGATGCAAACTAAGGCCAGATATTGCATTTATTTATCCTTTTTCCTTGGTTTCCTTCAACCTAGAACATTTCTCCAGCCTTTGTCATTTATGATATTGACCTTTTAAAGAAATAGAATATTTCTCGTTTTGTGTTTGTCTGATTTTTCCTCATGGTTAGTTTCTGGTTGTGCATTCCCCACCAAAACACTGCATAGGTGATGTTGTGTCCTTCTCAGTGCATTATAGCTAAAGGCACATGCTGTCCATCTACTCCTCATTGGTAATGTTCATTTGGATAACCTAGTCAAGGTGTTGTTCAGGGTTTGCTTTTTTTTTTTAATATATTTCTTTATTGATTTTAGAGAGGAAGGGAGAGGGAGAGAGAGTGAAACAGCATAGATGGACCTGGAGCATCTTGTCATGGCAGAAAGTAAGGGACTGTTTAAAAACAAATCACAAGGATACGGGAGCCAACTTGAAGGGGCTTCCACTCACAAGATCTGGGATAATTTGAGCACAAAATAATTAAGGACGCTATTGAAGTATAGGCCTTTGGAAAAAATAGGAACACATAATTCCAAACAAGTAAATGGAGGACTCTTACGTCCAGTATATGGATACTGAGCTGAATGGTGGTGGGTTCTGAGGAGGAGTGTGTGTTTGTGGTCTTAAAATAGCTCCCACAGATTGCTTATTAGTGATTAGGGACAAAGTAGTAAATATGGTAGAAAACTGAACAACAGCCCAAGCTGGTTTGGCTCAGATAGAGTGTTGGCCTGTGGACTGAAGGGTTTCAGGTTCGATTCTGGCCAAGGGCACATGCCTGGGTTGTAGGCTTGATCCCCAGAGAGAGATAGAAACATCAATGATGAGAGAGAATCATTGACTGGCTGCCTCCTGCACACCCCAAAGGGGGATCAAGCCTGCTACCCAGGATGTGCCTTTGACCCAAATCGAACCTGTGACTGGTCAGTCCACTGGATCATACCGGCTAGGGCGATTAAATAACTCTTAAATTTCATTTAGTGATCTCATGAATTGCCCCTTTTATGAAAGAAAAAAAAAAGTGACTGGTATCAGGATTCTTTTAGAGTGAGTCACTGTGTCTACCAGCGGCATATGTTTTTTTTAAAGTATATGTGTAGGCTATATTTGGACCATAAGACGCAGGGACTTTTCCCCCTCACTTCTGGGGGGAAAAAAGTGGGTCTTATGGTCCGAAAAATTTAATCCTGTCTCTTGGAACTGGTGAAGAAAAAAAGATTCTGAAACAAATAGTGTCCTAAAATATTTTATGTGCATTAAAACCCAACATCACAGTCATAAACACATGTAATCAACCCTGTAAAGTAAACAGCAGCATTTAGAACCATTTTAGAGCCGGGCAAGCGCACAGAGACCACACAGAGCCGGGCAAGTAAAAAAACTTTTTTTTTTTAAAGTATATGTGTAGGCTATATTTGGACCATAAGACGCAGGGACTTTTCCCCTTCACTTCTGGGGGGAAAAAAGTGCGTCTTATGGTCCGAAAAATACTGTAATTATTTTGTGCTCAAATTACCCCAGATCTGGCCAGTGGAAGCCCCTTCAAGTTGGCTCCCGTATCCTTGTGATTTGTTTTTAAACATTCCCTTACTTTCTGCCATGACAAGATGCTCCAGGTCCATTTATGCTGTTTCCTCCTTATCCCTAACTTTTCCTCTAAGTCCATCCTTACAGCTACTCAGCAAGATGAATGTTTGAAAGTGGTGCTTTCAGGAACAAAGAAACCAGTCCATCAACACCCCCCGCAGTCAACAGTTTTAGATGCCACTGGGCTCGTGGCAAGGCACATCCCCTTCTCTGCTGCTGTCTTAGGCAGGTGCCCCAGAAAAGGAAACAGTAGCTTGGACCATGCAGCTTCAGTTATTGACCCCTCTACTGTGTGCTGGAATCAGTGAGGGATACACAAGATTATAAGACACCGTTCCAAGGAGATTGCAGTCTAGCAGAATAGACACATGTACACATAAATACCCATAATACACCCCTGAAAGTATTTTCCTTGTGCTGCCAATGAGGTCCATAAAGGGGCTTGGGGAGTTCCAGGAGGAGGGACAGTACTTATAGCTGGGAGAGTTTGAGAAGGCTTCATTAAAGTGACTTTGGGTTTAGACCTTGAAGAAGGTAGAATTTGGAAAGATGGTTTTCCTGATGAAAAAAGTCACTATATATGAACTCTGAATCAGGTTTGACTTCGCAACATCATGCAACTAGATCTAGCCTCCTT